TGCCGGAATTTTTGCCAGAAGGACGAGGGGTGGTGAGGGGATAATGGTCACGCATTAAATGTGGACAATCTGAAGTAAGAGACTAAATTTGGAAGTGGTATAATAGTCATAGGACCAAAAGTGGAATTTTTTCTTGTTAAAATTGGCTAAAATTTTGAAACTAATGATATTCCAGATGAAAGGAATGATATTCCAGATGAATTATGAAAAATTATATTTATAAATAAAGAAAATATACATGAAAAAAGCGTTAACCAGAAATGGTCTTCTTTGGCAATTTCAGTCAGTTTAACCAGAAAAGTAACATCAATCATGCTTATTTTTATTATAACACAATTCAACGCGTGAAATGATCAAGATGCCTTATTTGGGTTCAAGGCATAATCTTCACAATACACCTTAATACGTTTTTACTTGCATTTAATTCAATCTCAAATCAAATCAGATCATATCAAAATGATCTAGAACAGATCACTGACTTAATAGGTAGCAGATAAAACCAGATTAGACTCTCATAGTTATGTAGTGCACATAGGCCAGACATTACTAAACCAGATCAAACTAGATCATATCAGACCATAAAATTGAGTCAACTTAAAAAGATTAGTAGAGAATGTAATGCTCATATAATCTATGACGACCTCTTGACCTCTTGTGTGTAGAGATGACAATTTCAGCCGACCCGTTGGATACCCGCATCGAACCGATTTGGTCAAACCGGTTTGACTGGGGAACGGGTACGGGGCAGGGACTACCTTATTTTTTAAATGGATAATGGTGCGGTTATGGTTCTATACTAATTCACCCCGTTATCCGCTCCGAAATCACCTCGTTCACCAATGGTGCGGGAACTTGCACCGTTACCCGATCCATAACATTATTAATAAATTATAACTTTTATATATAAGAACAATAAATATATATGCTAAATTGTGTATACTAAATCGCAAAGAGTATATATGATGATGATATATTGATACATATCCATATTAAAGTGTTGTTATAGTGTTGAACAATCACTTTTTAGATTTTGGATGTTGAAATGTTGAACATTACTTTGATGGTGTAATGAATTTAGGCCTAAAACTGTTTTTTGCGATGAATTACTACTTTTTTAGGCCTAAAACTAAATATCGGAATAAATCTGTTTTTTTAATTTGGATTCTGGGATGATTACTACTCTCTCCGTCCCATTAGAAGGTTCTCACTTTCCTTTTTTGGATGTCCCATATAAAAGTTCTCATTTCCATTTTAGGAAACAGTTAACAATCTGAAGTGGCAAATTAATCATTAAATATTCAAATAATACATTTATAACATCGCAGTTATCAATACTAAACTACATTATAATATATGCCTATTAAAATTATTTTCCAAAATGTACTCGAACTACTTTATTTAATTATTGTCTAAATAACCGTGCCGTTTTGCTATGGGAACCTTCCAACGTGACGGGTGTAGTACTTTTTATTATGTTACAAGAGATATTGGCTGCTTGTCATACTAATGAATTTAGGATTAAACTGCTTGATTGCCTGAATATGTACTTTTGTATGTTTTATGGTGCTTTGAATATATAATTTACTACGAAGGATGTTTACATTAACAAGTAGGATTAGAAATTGGTTATTTGGTATCATTTGGGCAAACGATTACCCGTGGATAAACCGATTCCCCGTTGGAGTGGGTATGGTTCAAATAAAAACTACCCGAACGGATAATGAGGCAATTTTGGATAAAACATTTATCCAACGGAGGTTTCGATTTTATCTGATTCGCGCCGTTGCCATCCCTAATTGTGTGTTGAGGAGGTGTATAGAACTGTCTCGCATATAAACCATTCTTCTAGCGACTCATATTTCTCATTTTATAATTCCATTCATGATTCATAATTGGGTAATTTGCTATTGTTTAAAACTAATGTTTTCAAATATACTATATATTGTTAAATAAATAAGTTAAAAGCTAAAAGTGAGGGGTATGTGCTTTTAAGTTTTTACCGTTTTTCACTTTTTCAATAACACAAAAACATAGAGAAACGTGTCAATTTGATTCTCGTACTATCACGAAAAAGTCAATTAAGTCCTCGTACTTTTAAAAACATCAATCAAATCTTCGAACTTTGTAAAAACGTTCAATTGAGTTCATTTGAAAGTTACTTGTCATGTCAGCAGGTTACCCGCTGACGTGGTGCACACGTGGCAGTTAGTAGTGCCTTTGCTGACGTAGCACACATGTGGAAGTTCAATCATCTATTTTATGATGACATGAAGCATACGCGGACCGTCACATGTGCGCCACATCATCGGGTGACCTGCTGACATGACAAGTAACCTGCAAATGGATTCAATTGAACGTTGATACAAAGTTCGGAGATTTGATTGATTTTTTTAAAAGTATGAGAACTCAATTGGAATTTTTCGTGATTATACGAGGACTAAATCGACAGTTTTCCCAAAAACATACTCCCTCCGTCCCAAAAACAACTTCACACTTCGTTTTCCACACATATTAAGAAAATAAACTTACTGGGGGTAAATTTTACTGTTTTGACATTGTTTGGACATTGTTTAGCACTGTTTGACACTATTTTGATGTAGATAATTTACCAAATAAGAAAGTGGCAAGAAGTGTGAAATTAATTTTGAGACATCTTAATGAAAGTGAGAACCATTAATAAAGTGGCGAAGGAGATACTTGGAGAATCTAAAGAATGTCTGCCACCAAAAAAGGACACATCTTGGTGGAATGATGAGGTGAAACAAGCAATAAGGGCCAAAAGAGAATGCTATAAGAAATTGGGCAAAAGTTGGAGCGACGAGAACATAGAGGAGTACAAAGAGGCTAGAAGAAGAGCAAAGAAAAATGTGAAGGAAGCCAAAGGAAAAGTGAATAAGGAATTGTATGTAAAGTTGGATTCTAAGGAAGGAGAAAAAGATATCTACAGACTTGCTCGCCTTCGTGATCGTAGGACTCAAGATATCGGAAAAGTTAAGTGTGTGAAGGATGTCGATCAAATGGTACTAATGGACGACGAAGAAATAAAAGAGAGGTGGAGGTCATACTTTGATACCTTGTTCAACGGGAATAAAGTCCAAGGTATTGATGATCTTACTATACCAGAGTGTATGGTAAATAGGGACTTCGTGAGAAGGATTCAAACAACATAAGTTAAAGAGGCTATGAGAAAAATGGACCGGAAGAAAGCAGTGGGTCCAGATGGCATACCGATCGAGGCTTGGAGAAGTTTGGGAGAGAAAGGCATCGAGTGGCTAACACATTTCTTCAACATGATTTGGAGAAACAACAAAATGCCAGTGAGTTGGCGGAAGAGTACTCTCATTCCCTTATTTAAAAATAAGGGTGATGTACAAAAATGTGCTAACTATCGAGGGATTAAGCTTATGAGTCATACCAAACTTTGGGAGCGAGTAGTTGAGCAAATACTACGTAAAAGTGTGAAAATTTCGGAGAATCAATTTGGTTTTATGCCTGGACGCTCAACAACTGAGGTCATTCACCTTCTTAGACAAGTTGTGGAGAAGTATAGAGACACTAAAAAGGATCTTCATTTGGTGTTCATTGACTTAGAAAAGGCACATGATAGGGTACCTCGAGAAGTTCTTTGGTGGGCCTTAACTAGAAAAGGCATATCACGTAAGTATATCAGCATCATCATGGATATGTATGATGCTTGTACTACAAGTGTCCGCACTAGTGTAGGGAGGACCGCAGAGTTCCCTATTACTATTGGAGTGCACCAAGGATCTGCTCTGAGTCCTTTCTTATTTGCTTTAGTCATGGATGAACTTACGAAGTCAATTCAAGAAGATATATCGTGGTGCATGATGTTTGACGACGATATTGTATTGATTGATGAGATACAATCCGGTGTTAAAGCAAAGTTGGAAGTATGGCGACAAACATTGGAGAGCAGGGGTTTCAAACTGAGTCAAAGCAAGACTGAGTATATGGAGTGCAAGTTCGGTGGAGGTAGAAGCAGTAGCAACAGTGGGATTACTCTTGATGGTAAGGAGATACCGGTGTGTGATATGTTCCGTTACTTGGGATCCATAATTCAGAAGGATGGTGAATTAGATGGAGATGTATGTCATAGAATCAGAGCTGGGTGGATAAAATGGAAAAGTGCTTCAGGATTTCTATGCGATCGAGGTATGCACACTAAACTAAAAGGTAAATTTTATCGTACAGCAATTAGGCCGGCATTAATGTATGGCGTAGAGTGTTGGGCAGTGAAGCAATGCCGCATTCAAAAGATGAGTGTGACAGAGATGCTTATGTTGCGTTGGATGTGTGGACATACCAGAAAAGACCGCCTGCGGAATGAGGTAATCAGACAAAAGATGGGAGTAACACCTATAGAAGATAAGATGCAGGAGTCTCGTTTGCGGTGGTTTGGGCATGTGCATAGAAGACCGAGTAATGCACCTGTTAGATGCCTTGAGGAGCGGGGAGAAGAGTTAGAGAAGAGAGGGAGGGGAAGATCCAAACAGACTTGGATTAGAGTAATCAGAACTGATATTCATCTTCTTGGGTTGGATGAGAGTATGACTTTGGAGAGAGCAAAGTGGAGGGCACACATCCATGTGGACGATTGATGTCTTGTCTACCTTTCCTCTCTTGTTTCTTTTATCGTTTATATTCCTTATCTTTTTATATTCTTATGTTATTTTTATCTTCTAGCTTTTTATGCTCTTTTATTTATTTTTCTTTTATCTTGGTTATATTCTTGTGTTATTGTTATCTTATATTTATGTATCTTTATTTTATTCATTTTATCTTCTTTTTTTTTCCTTTTCTTGTTCGCCTTCTCTTTTTGGCATCAATATCATAGATCGATTCATGTTAGCCGACCCCAAATTCTTTTGAGATTAAGACTTGGATGTTGTTGTTTAAGGAAAGTGAGAAGTTGTTTTTGGGATGAAGGGAGTAGAGTACCTAATTTTGTTATTAATCACTATCCATTTCTGATTCCTATGCTTCAAAGGATTCCTATAATTAGCCGACTTCGAGCTAAGATCTCTAACAAAAACTAGATGAAAGGATAGAGTAACAAACAAAGCGAGGAGTGAGGACTCCTCTAATAGTCAACGGTCAACACAATTTGACCGTCCCTGTCCGTCTTCCTGCCATCTATGCATGCCCTGAGCACACAGCTCATGAAACGCGCAAAGAAAACCCCAAAAGCAGCGGAAAACACCCCTTCTCACTCTCACTCCCACTCAACGTCCACACCCATCTTCTTCCTTCTTGCTCGGTAATCCCTCCTTTCTGCCCCCCTCCCCTCTTCTTCTTTCTTACCCATCACCCCCCCCCCCCCCCCCCCCCTCCCACTCCCCTAAAAAAATATATGCAATCCCTCGAGGCCTCAATGTGTGTGTTTGTTTTATTGAGATTGTGAAAAAATAAATCTAACGGTGTAGAATCTTGGCTCGAAGTGTCATAGTCGGAAAGATGGAATCTTTGTTGCCTTTATGAGCCTGAAATTGCTGAATTTAATACTTCAGATTGTTTTTAATAATGGGATGTGTTTCATAGTCCAGAGATAGAGGGAGGGGGTAGTAATAAATTTTAGGGACCAAGTGATAATGGTGGCCTGGCTTCCATTATTGTGAATATAGATAGCCCTGAAGCATTTATACTCTTGAGATATAGACATATAGTCTTTGCTCTTTCCTATTTGTCCAAATCTATGCTGAGTAATGAGTATAAGCTTCTTGCTCTTACTATTATCTCCCTGCATCATATAATTATTATTAAAAAAAATCTTTTTTGTTTCAAGTCCCCTTTTATTTTTCTCTTGTGATGAAATTTTTGCTGGGTGCCCATTTGAAAATTAAAATGAAGGTGAAGAGTGGAGAGTAAGAACGATAGAATGGGAAGAACACCTTGCTGTAACAAAGAAGGGTTAAGGAGAGGAGTATGGACACCCGAAGAAGACAAGATTCTTGTTGACTACATCACTAACAATGGACATGGTAACTGGAGATCTCTCCCTAAACTTGCAGGTGTGGTTTCCATTCTTTGATTCCCTTTAAGCTTGAAAATCATACTTATGGAGCTCTTGATTTACCCTTTAATTCCCACAGCTTGAAAATCATACTGTATATTCTACCATGTATTGGGTTCTACCTTGTAGGCTTTTCTGGTTGTACCCCTCAACTGATTATACTTTGGAACTTCAAAGAATGTCAGCATGTGGAGCTCGTTTGGCAAACACCAAATTTAGATGAAATTGATGAAGTTGGAGCATAAATGGCTAACTGGTTTTAATAATGAAATAATTCTAAGTAAAATGTACTTCTCATTGTAATCTACTATTTTGATTAAGTACTACTAAATTGATGAAGTTGGAGCATAAACACCAAATATACTTTGATTAGTACTACTATTTATTAGGTCATATATGCAATCTAAATGGATTACGAAATTAAACAGTAACAAGCTTATTGGTTAAAACATTGTACTGATGAAGAAAAACGAACAGTTAGACTTATCTATAACTATATTTTTAGATTTATCAATATTATTGCAGGTCCTTCTCATTCTTCCTTCTTATAAAGTTTCTGCAACAAGGACATCTTACATTAAAAAAATTGCCACTGCTTTTTTGCTTGGATGGCATTATATTCTTTACAGTTAAGTGGTAATATATATTCATCATTGTAACATAGATTTATAATACTACAGGTCTGCTCAGATGTGGAAAGAGTTGTAGGCTTAGGTGGGCAAACTACCTTCGCCCCAATATTAAGCGTGGCGAATTCAGTGCAGAAGAACTTAACACTATCATTCAACTTCATAGTGTTCTTGGTAACAAGTAAGGTTTTTGCCAAGTTTTTTGTGTTCTGTAATTGTGTTATAGTCTTCTCTTATAGCTAATGGTTGAAAATCTTTAGGTGGTCTGCCATAGCCTCCCATCTGCCAGGAAGAACAGATAATGACATAAAGAACTACTGGAACTCACATTTAAGGAGGTTGGCAGTTCATCCCAACCATCAAAACCAGCAGCTGTCTCCTGTTGAATCTTTGAGTAAGATGGACTGTGACCCATTTCTGCGTCTTTTGAATTCTAAAGTCGGAGAATCATTTTGTGGTGGTTTCAAGAAATCTTATCAAAACCCAGAAATTTCACAAGCTTCTGCGTCATCAACTGGCAAAACTCAGTCATGTTCTGGGATCACACTGCAGAATGATGAACCTTCTTCAAAGAATTTCTGCTCTTCTAACACCATGTCTATGCATTGCAAAGTAGAGGAAGAGGATAGCTCAGAGATTGCACTCAAGCTGCTGCTGGATTTTCCTGCTGGTGTTGATGAAATTCTGGGATTGTTGCATGGACCAGGAGACGATCTCTCGTTTTATGATCATCAATGCTAACTCATCTAAATCTGCATATTAGCAGCCTAGTTTGATCATAGAGATGCTGCTACATGTATCTAAATATATTTAGCATCCTGGTTTTGTTTTTACTTGGTACTGCTTAGGTTGTGGTAAGATTTATAAGTAGTTTTGATCTTGGTACTGCAATACATTTAGAAATATGACAGAAAGGAAAGAAACTTGTTGGTATGTGACTCATTTTGGTAGGTATGCTTTGGTGCTTGACGCAGTTGAAAATTTCTATCCTACTTTCCTTATTTCGAACTTGAGTCGAGACAATTCGTTACGCTATCAAGTTTATCTCAATCTTGAATTTCTTTAATTGTGACTCATTAACCATGATTTCAAGCTCTAACTTATATAGGCTGAAACTTGGTTTCCACAATTCCACACGTTTGAAACTAATTCAACGCATGTATATCGTAAAGAAATTGTATGAAAACTCGATTTTAATGTGAAAACTCGAAAAAGTGAAAGTTTCAGGTTAGATTTCAAGCCAATTCACTTTTTATTAACATTTTTTTCACTATTTACAATGTACAAGTAACTCCCATTAATGGAGTTTCAAGCAAATCTAGTGGAAAAGAAGAGATAGTGGAAGAAGGAATCCTCCAACATGTAGGGAAAATCTTCAATTTATAGGAAAATGAGGAAGGTACAATGTTACTCTAATGGGCCAAATGGACTGAAATGAACCTAACTTATTGGAGTCGGTATGGGCCAGTGCATTAGGCTTCTAGAATAGTTATAATACTCCGGGATCCAATATCCCAACACCACTATACACTGAACTCTAATTAAACTACTCCCTCCGATTCTTAATTAACTTTACGCTTTCCTTTTTGGGTCGTCCCATATTAAAGTTTGCACTTCCTTATTTGCCTTATTTGACAAACAAATTTACACCAAACAGTGCAAAACAGTGTCAAACAGTGTACTCTACTGTAAAGTCAAATTTGTTTCATTGATATGTGTGAAGTCAAAGTGTAAACTTCGACCGGAAGGAGTATAAGTTTTCATTAAAACTTTTATTAAGAAATCAATAGGACTAAAATATAGAGAAAAATTCAAAATAAGAATTCTGTGCTTTTAGTGCATTCCCTAAACATGTTATAAATTACCGTCAAAATAATACTCCATTTAACATGTAATTGTAAAATAACAGGAGATTAATAATGCCAAATCTTAAGATAAAATGTTGTTCTAATTCTTGGTATTGAAGATGCAATGTTGTGAATAAACCCAACAAATTTAATTTGAAAGCAACTAATCTGAATAAACACAACTAATTATTTAATTATAATATTTTAATCGATTTATATGAGCACGTATGATATAATACTTTAATGGATAATGTACAGTTTGTTAATTATATATCGTTGTGAGTGATTAAAAACATGACTAAAACTCCATTAGTTTCCCAATTTATGACCTAACTAGTTTTATTCCCAAAGTAGTATTTAAATTTCTAATTTTTAATTAATTTTGTAATAAATAAATAAATAAATAAATTTGATGGACTAATATGCCCTTTTAAATATGGCTATAAAAACGGCATGCCAATTGATTGGGATGATAATTAAAATGGTACGTAATATTACTTTACATTACACATCTTCCAACTTTTTCTTATAATCCAAATTTAAGAAAGAATATATACTGTGGACATTTAAAATTAATGACCCATTTGCTTATAAATTAATTGGGCTTCGAGATATCTTTGATGGGTGGTTATTGTCATGGGCCTCATTTAAATGCTACCGCACTATTTTCCATCTTATTGGGCCTCTTGAATTTATTGGGCCAGATTCTATTGGAATTGCTTCTGATAGATTTAATGTGGATCCGTTCGAATAAAATTTAGTGATTAAATTAATTTGGGTCATTTAAAATGTCCAATTAATTTAATTATAAATTAAATCTTGGACGGAATGGACTGGTCCTATTAATTTCTCTATTTTTGAGCCCAATATCAAATAGTGACTCAAAATATAAAAGACATGATCCAGTTGATAAAGAGAGCGATGAATCTGGTTAAGAAATCTATCCATATGCATGAGAAATAGCTATGAACCTTGCTAAGAAAGTTGTCCATATACATTGTATAAGTGATGATTTTTCTAGCTAAAATAATGCAAGCAAATGGAGCCCGAAGCCCATTTTAATTGAGGCCCAAGGGGTATGGACGAATTTGCTAAACCCTAAAACATATTTTCACCCCTCCACACGTATAAATAGGGGTCTAAGTTGAGAGGAATAAGGAGAGAACTTCCTGTCGAAGAAACGCTGCAGAAAAGCTGAGAAGAACTCCTGAGAGGCTCTGAACGTTTCCGAAGAAGAGGAAGAGATCAAGCTACGAATTTTATTAAGAATATACGAATAATGTGATTTCATTCATTCTTGATGAAATAAATCTAAAAGTTGAAGAATGAAGCTCAAAGATTCGAAGATCTGAATTGAAGAACAATGTTTTGAAGATTCGAAGATATGAAGAACGAATCTTTGAAGATTTGAAGATATTCATATAAAGATTAAATCAAAATTCAATTAAAGAACAAGTCATATTTCTTAAAGAGAATATGGACAATTATATTCATCTTTGAACAAGTCCTATTAACCCTTTGCTGAAGATCAAGTTACTTGAAAATCGGAAGCCTTTGAAGCTGAATTCTGCATTCAAGAAGATTTGAAGATCAGATCCGAAGAACGAAGATTCAGAGATTCAAAGATCTCAAAAACGAAGATTCAAAATTCCAAAAAATGTTTGAATTTTTGAAGGATTAAAGATTTAATTTTGAATTACAATTTTTAATTATATTTATTTCAAATTGCAAGTGAAGAATCAAATGATTTATATTCAGAGACCGTACTCGATCAATATTCTCGTATATAATTATTCGTTATGAATTTTAAGTAAATAATTAAAACTTGTTTAACTTAAATGTGAGTACGGACGTAGAATATGTAGTTATTGGAATAAAAAAATGTAGTTATTAAGAAAGAATGATTATTATTTATTAAATTACATTGTTATATGTTGTATAGAAATAGAAAGAAGATAGGCACTTAAATTCCTTGGCTGCCACATCTTCGTTTGGATCATGTGATGCTGTGCCACGAGTCAGTCTCACAGTGGAAACAATCACCCCCATTTAACACGTGCCGTCCGTTCTGCTTGCCACCGCCATGCATGCGGCGGCGCCGCCCACGTACCCTTATCCCCACCGGGCCCATGCTCTAGCTATTCATCTTTAAGAACTTGAATCAATTCTTCTTACCTCAGATTATTATCCATCCGTATCACATTTCTCCAAGGTGCGTGAAGATTCATTATCCGAAACAATAGAATGGATGAGAAACAGATTCTTCAAGGGCATGATGATGGTCAAACCCACACTAGAGGAGGTCTGCTGCGCTCATCAGGTTACATTCATTGAGTTTTAAGTCTTTTCTTTCTTATAAAGATGCGAAAAGGGGTCGAATAAGCTCTTGAAATAATTTAAAAAGTGCAAATCACCCTTATACACGAGGCTTTGTCCCGCCGTAATCATTACGTCTAGTTTACTCATACCAAATTTTAGATAAAAATTCAATTGAGAAGACAGTCAAATCATTTTCTGAAATATATTGCGCTGTTTAACTGCACATTTATCTTCAAAAACTCATTTAATTATTTCCCGATTGAATTTTTAGCTGAAATTTGGTACGAGTGAAGTTAACGAAGAAGATGCCCAAACGGTGGACAGAGCCTCCTCTTATATAAGGAAGGGGTGACTTAATTCGAGGGCCTATTTGACCCTTCTCGTTTCAGATTTAGATGCCCAAAAGTTTTCTTCATTACAGTAAGATTTGAAGTTGCAAAAGTTGTTGATTCAGATTTAGATGGTTGAAATTAGTGAAGCCCTAACTGAAATTAAATCCTTCTATAGGTTGAAGTTTCCAATTGAGATACTCTACAAAAAGCTAGAAAAATGCTACTTGTATGTACAAACAATCCTTTTTAGTAAACGGAAATTTCTATGATCCCAAAAAGTGGCGTGTATAAGCAAGCGTTAACACAGAATGGTTGAAAAAAGTTTCCAATTCAGATAGATAGATATCATTCCATGATAATTTATTGATTCATATTTTATCTTGAGAAAACTTCAACACGAAATCAGGCACAACATCGAGCATATTATTATGGGCTACTCGGATAGAAGGGGGAGTACACTCATACTAAAATTTAGTCACGCTTTTCTTTGCCTGATATTTTAACAAAAACTTCTTAAAAACTCATTTTAAAAAATAGTTCAATAAAATTCTTCTTCACAAGAGCTCAAAAAAGCTTCTTGATTGTGCATGCAGTGGTTCAGGAGGAAGAGAGCGGTGGTCATGACGAGCATCATCATGACAAGAAATCCGTGATGCAGAAAGTGAAGGAGAAGGCCAAAAAGATAAAGGACACCCTCAAGCATCACGGCCATGCCCACGATCACGACGGTGATGAATCGCTCGAGGACGATGACGAAATGGAGGTCGACCCAGACGTCCATGGTGGTCATAGTATGTCATCAATTCATACCATCAAATTTTCACTAATTAAGGCTTTAGTGAGGTTTAATCATGATGATTTGTGATTAATTACTCTTAATTCATGATGATCAGTTGGCGGCACTGCCATTCGCCACAAAACCCTTGATGATTTTGGAGATGTGGAGAAGCCCATCGTTAAACCAAATAGTCCCAGGAAGGATCATCATGGATTAGGGTTGAAAGATGAAGGAATTATCAAACCTGATGAAGAATTAGAGTCCAAACATACTAGAGGAATCACCCGTGTGCCTTTACATAAGTACCATCAACCATTCGTTTCTGAAGCTAATAATCAAAGCTCTGCCCATGGAAACCCCGGAGATCTTTTGCAGCCTGAGGTGACCAAAATTGGTGCACCCATCGGTCTAGAGGAGGATCGTCAAGCCCCGTCGGACCATCACCTCCTGCCATCGAACTACCAGAGTAAAATCGTTGATCCAACTGGTGCGGGTAAGGCCAAACTTACATCCTTAATTCACAGCAGCATTACGAAATTTAGAATGTCATCTAGTTTTGGGAATACTATTTAGAATCTTTAGAAGCCTCAATATGTATTGGAATCAATTGAAGCTCAAACGAGAAATAAATATGAAGACTTGAACTAAAAAGGAGCAAGTAATAACTTAATTTTATCATCTAACTGGTATGTCTAATATTGCTTTTAATTGATTATTGGGCAAAACTGACAGGAGGTGAGCAGGCTAGGATTAGTCCGCTTATTCAGTCATTTGAGAAGATGGAAGTTGGTAAGCCAGAATCAAGAACAGCAACCGGAAGCCATGACCAGTTTGCTCCGGATCAACCCGTGGCTGTAGACTTGGTGTCATCAAAAGACACTGAATCAATCCCAAAGAGATTTGATCCTAGCAAACCCGAAGACCTTCCTGTTGATCCAGTTGATGGGAGACCATCAGCTCCACAAGGAGGAAGCTATGCTGGGAAAAGTGCCGAGTATGCAAAGAGTGCAGCAATTGCAGTGGCTGAGAAACTGGCACCAGTCTATGGGAAGGTGGCAGGTGCTGGAAGTGCTGTGATGGAAAAACTTCCTCTACCCGGTGGGAGTGGACAGCGGGTAAAGGAAACTAGCAGAGATGAACATGACAAGCAGGGAGGAGGAAAGAGCGTTACAAGCACAGTGAAGGAGAAACTAGCACCTGTTTATGATAGAGTAACAGCTGCAGGAAGTACATTGATGTCAAAAGTTCAAGGCCCAGGAACAGGTCAGGCTATAGTGAAAGAAGGAAATGAGGAAAATGTTAGGAGTGACAAAGGAGTGTCTATGAAGGAGTACTTTGCAGAAAAACTAAAGCCCGGGGAGGAAGACAAAGCCCTGTCTGACATGATTTCGGGAACCCTTTCAAGGCAGAGGGCAGAGAAAACAGGGGAATCTGGGAAAGATCTTAGGCCAATGGGTAGAGTGACTGAATCCGAGAAAGTTGCAAAAAGATTGGGTCCTATTGATGATACACCAAAAGAGGGAAGCGAAGAGAAGGGAATGGTGGATATGTTGAAAGGTGCAGTTAACTCATGGCTTGGGAGAGACGATGAGTTGAAGGCTGCCACACATCACACAGATGGTAATTTAACGTGGATAATGTATTCATGTTCTTTAAAGACATTTTCTAGTTAGATATTTATCACTCGTTGGTTGCTCTTGTTAAACTTGCTTGAAAATGCAGAAAAAGGGGTTGGAGTCTCCAGAGCTGAAGAGGTTCATGATGAGAATGCAATGGGTGAGAGAAGAAGACTTCAGGAGTCTGGGCAGTGAAGAACATTATATATATAGTCTGGGAAGGGATTTGTTTTTGTGGTGGGTGGTGTTTGTGTATATACAGTTATATGTATGAAGCCTCGTGCTCTGTGTAATAAGTGGTTTGCATGACTGAAACTAAATCAAGTATTTTGAAGGAAATGGGGGATTGTGTGCTATTTAACCTGGACTTTCATCCATTTGTCTTGAATCTTGATCCTCAACTTCAATTCTTCAAACACATGCATTGCATGGTTTCTGAGTAAGGTCAAAGTGAGATGACCAGTGGGAGGACTTTTTTTTTTTTGAAGAGATGACCAGTGGGAAGGCTTTAAGCATTCGAGTTTCCAACGAAAATGGTAAAATCTTCTAACAAGTTGTCATGGCTTCAGCCTACCATAGTCTGTCTACCATAGTCTGTGCATAGATAAGGAATATCCAGTGTTTTTGACCTAGTTGTCATTAGGGATAGACCGAGACGTGTTGGCCCGGGTTTAGGCCCGGCCTGGGCCGCTAATGTATAGGCTTGGTCCCGGCCCGGTGGCTATAAGGGCGGGCTTCGGGCTCGTTTTTTGGCTCGTTTTTTGGCCCGATCAGGCGGATCCCAGGCCCGATTGCACTATTTTTTTAATTTGTTACCCAGTCTCGAGCCGGCTCAGTCCCGACAGTCCCGACCCGGAACTGTTTAGGCCCGGCCTGATACCGGGCTTAGGTCTGAGCCCGCCCCAGTCCCGACCCAACCCGATCCTGGTCCATGCATAGTGATGGTTGTTGAGAACTTAAGGGTTTCTTCACAATATCGCTACTTGGTTTTCTATCCTCAAACACACTCATCTCAACCCACATAAATTATTAAAAAATAGCAATTATTATTAAAAAATATGATGTTACATTACAGATTCGCCATATGGTAACTGGTACAAGGATATTAACTTCCTTCAGTTTTGTTTTATGAAATAATTTGTCTAACATAAATAGCAAGGGTACATAATGGCGATATTTTGCCCCAACCACCTGTTTTGTTGGGTGGTGAGGGGCAAAGAAGACATTCTTAGGCACCAATCTTGGGGAGCTTAGCAAGGGAGATTTGTGCAAGGAAATGCTCTGCCACTAGTCTTCTCAAGATTTTGCCTGTGGCAGTTTTAGGCAGAGTATCAGTTAAGAACACCTTCTTTGGAACCTTGAAGGCTGCCAGATACCTCTTGCAGAATTTCAACACTTCCTCCTCATTAATGTTTGCTCCTTCATTTGGAATAATTGCACAGTTTATCTGGTAAAAATCAAAGTAATATCTGTCATACACAATTATCTACTACTCATATAAAATTTAGCATGCCAGCGGTTTCAGCTATGTATGGTCATGGTGGCATTAGCTGTAATTTCTTTGGAGACTAGTATTAATGTTGTTTACTCCCCACAAGATTATAAATAGCTTTAAATTGATATGGATACTTGGCTATAGGTAATAAATAATCCCAACTTTAAGAGGCAGGTAGCTAATTGTTTTATGTATACCAAATATGTACCTAAATACGAGTAATAGACTGACATAAATAATTTCAAACAATCGGTTTAGCATACAGCAAATGTATTATGAGGTTCTACCTAGTACGTAGTACCAATTATTAGTCATAGGTGAAAATATATTGAAAATATATTTTCATCTCAAATGGAAATAAATATATTCTTGACATATATAGAATGAAATAGTTCCATCCAGCAAAGCCATTTTGCTTGGTGGATGCAATAATTCAATTCCACGCTGATTTCAAACTAATCACATTCCCCTCAGGTAATTGGGACCTACGGAGTACATCATTATTTTCCACTACGTATTTTACTTTGTACTCCGTATTAAAAAGAAAAGGAAATGCAACAGTTGCACGTGTGGAATCTATATCACAGTCAGGAACGTAATTGGATAGAAGCAATTTAAATGCAATTGATCTCTTACCTCTTCGCCATACTTGTCATCTGGGACTCCAAAAGCTACCGCTTGAGCAACGTCTGGGTGGGATACCAGCACAGCATCTACTTCAATGGGTGATATTTTCTCCCCTAAAATAACACTTTTCAATTGTAAATAACTGTAATTGCATAACATAGGATTTAAAAAGCATTTTACGATGAAGGGACACTAACATATTTACGTGCATACATACCTCCACGGTTGATCATCTCTTTAATCCTGCCGACAAGATGTAAATACCCTTCAGAACCAATGTATCCAAGATCTCCCGTATGAAACCACCCGAATTCGAAAGCTGACTTATTGGCTTCTGGGTTGTTTTTGTACCCCTTAGTCACATTTGATCCTCTAATGCAGATTTCGCCGGTAGTCCCAGCCTCCTGTACCACGCCATTCTCATCGAGTATTGCCATCTCTTGACCCACGGGTTTCCCGACGGATCCGGGCACGTGAGGCCCATCTTCGGGCAACGGGTTCGATGCCATCAAATGGGTCGCCTCCGTCATTGCGTACGCCTCCAGAACAGGCGCCCCAAACGCTTCTTCTAGCCGGTTCAATATTGACGGTGCCAGGGCAGCACTACAGCTCCGGATGAACCGGAGCTTCGGGTAAATGGGTTCGGGTTTGTTGAGGTGGCGCTCCAAAATGATTTGGTGTATAGTCGGCACGGCCGTGTACCAAGTGGCGTTGGACTTGTTCATGTCTGGCCAAAAAGTCGATGCCGAGAACCTCCCAGTGGCTGGGAGCGTCACAGACCCACCGGCTACTATCGAGCTCAACAACCCGGCAATCAAGCCGTGAACGTGAAACAGAGGCAAAACGATTACGGTTGAGTCTGACTCGGTGAGTTTGTAAACCGATTTAATATTGCTCACTGAAGAAGCTAGGTTAGACTGAGTCAATGGAACGCCCTTGGGGCGGCTGGTGGTGCCGGATGTATGTAAAAACAGTGAAACGTCAGACGGATCGTTAATCAGATTCGAGATCGAATCCGGATTAGAATCTGGAACAGCCGGAGAGAGAGTGATCTCCGATTCAGCGCCTGGAAGTGTAGCTGTAACGGCTGGAATATTGAGCTTGGCGGAAGCCGCTTGAGCCGCCTCGTTTCCTTCTTTCGGAATCAACAACAGCTTCGACTCGGAGTCGGAAAAATAAAACTCGAACTCCTCTGCCGTGTAAGCCGAATTCAGTGGGGCAGCGGTAGCCCTAACCCGAATAGTTGCCAGAAACATTATCACAAACTGTAACAATGAAAATCAACGATCAAATTCATTGAACTAAACATAAGCATATACCATAGAAAGGCATGAAAAGTGCGGTTAAGCTTTCTCTTATCCTCTGTTGAAGTGTTGATGATTGATTCCGAATTTAATTCTCATTTCAAATGCCAAATTTCATCATATAGCTAGAATCTTTTCAGGGCAACCAAACAATGAAAAATTCAACGAACCTCGACTGTATTGGGGAAGGTGAGAGCGACAACATCGCCAGGCCTAACGCCGGCGGTGAAGAGGGAAGAAGCGGCGCGTTCGACGAGGTGGTGAAGGCGAGAATGCGTAAGATCGAACATGCCGGAAACGGATATAGCTATCCGGGAGGGGAAAGTTCCGGCGATATGCTCGAGAAGTCCGGTGAGTGTCGATTTCTCCATGTTTAAAATGCTTCTAATCAAACTGGGATAGTATGGAACGCCAAAGCGGGAAGTTGGAAGTTGGAGGAGGGAGAGAGTTGAAAGTTGAAAGAGATGAGTTTTTGATGCAGAGGATCGGCCAACTCCCTTCCAACTTTGGGAGTGGTAATACGTGGCAGCCGTGGGGAATATTTCCGTAAAGATTCTGCCATCTTGGTTTCACACCAAGCCAAAAATAATTGAAAAGGTAAGGGGTACAAGTTACAATGTTTTCTTTGAATCATTTTGTATGCAGATCAAATTAGATTTAAACAAATCAAATCAGATAAGACTTGATAGATTACATCGGATCAAATCAGATCAGACCAGACTTTAATAGTTATAAAATACACATAGATCATACATTTATTAGACCAAATCAAACCAGTTCAAACCAGAATAAACCAGCAAATTTTAGTTCAAAAAGAACATTCTTAGTAAAGTACATCTTATTTTGCAGGATCATGAGACATTTTGTGAAATTGTGACAAATTTGTATTTGCATGGAGAACTCAATGGGAATGATCTACAAAATATTTATATACTTCTTATATACTTCCGGTTTAGGATCAAATTTTAATTTTATCTCCTCTTAGATAACTGTCCTTCGAGTTTAGGGAAGTCCCAAGAATGAGATGACATCCTTTATAGATGGTTATTAGGATAAACAACAAATCCAAGCCTTAATTTAAAAAAAAATGAAAGGCAAAAGAATTTGGGGATACATGATTATTAGGATCATTACACAAAAATTAACCTTTAAAGATGGTGAGAAAAGCAGTTCATTTAAGTCAAAATTATAATTCATTCAATTCCATCCATTTGAATCCCTTATGTGCATACATGTTCTCTTCACCTTGAAATCACCTAGCTAATAAATACTACATCCAGCCTTTGAAACATTGTTATCTTATAAAGTTTGAATAACCATTTTGATTAATATAATATTACAAAAGTTAGAATTTTATGTTTTTATGGAATTAATTTTTTAAACCACTTTTAACAAAGAACATTTTCATATCACTTTTATATTATTCAAATATGGCAGAATTTTATATGACTGAAAAAGTATGTAATTACGATATACGGAAAAGATTAATCTTGTTCTATTAATTGAAATAATATACTTCTATTTAAAATGTTGTATGATTTTTTTGCATTTTAAATAGAAGTATATTATTTCTACTTTTCTAAATATGTTTGAATTTACAATCAAAAAAATAAACTCGAATTACATACTCGTATTGTACTCATTAATTATATTCATTAATTATATTTTACAAACTTATTAAGTGGGAGCACCATCATACAAGAAAATTTCAAAAGTAAAGCTTAAACATGCCATTATCCTAGAAACTTGCATTCTATCATCGAAAAAGTATTCGGGACACGTTTAATTCACATGTTTATAAACGAGCCTAAAATAAGCAATGATGTAAGCTCATGTTTACTTCATAGGATAAAAAACACCGTTTAACATTTAAATGACCAAAAAAACTCTATACATATATAGACACACAAAACCATATGTACACAAGTATATAATATAATACATGGGGGCTTCCCATACCCCTGGTAGGTTAGGGATAATGGCTAGGGCTAGGGGAGGGGGTATGTGAGGTGGGTTAGGGTCTAGGTAAGGGGGCAGGGAGGGGTGGGTAGAGGAGGTAGGGTGAGGGATGGGTGGGCTTGGGTAAGGTAGGTAGGTTACGGGGTGGGGCAGGGGTGGTGGGTAGGGGTAAGTAATAGGTAAGGGTGGGGTCGGGTAAGGTAAGGTAGGTTAGAGGTTAGGTCGGGGTTCGGGGTAAGGTAGGGTAGGGTCGGGGGTAGGGGTACGGTACAAGATAGGGTATTAATAATTTGGGTAGTATATTTAGTAAGAGGTACGGACTTTAAGAACATCTTTCAGTTAATAAGCGGCTTTTTAAGCACCTTGTGTATTTACTTTACTTGTTTTACTAACTTAACTGTGACTTTAGCAGCGAAGTAAACACGTCTTTAGTGTTTATTCTTTAATGACTACTGAGTGAATTTTAGTTTTAATAGAATAAAGAATGTTTATATTTGTAATTGAACATATAATTTGGGCATATTACACATGTTCATCTATCCACATTTATAATTTAGAATTTAGAAATTGCTCAATATGAGATCAAAAGTGAACAATATTTAGAAATTGCGTAATAAAATTGAATGTGTTTTGTTTCTCAAATAAGATTTATGAAGTCTTTTTAAAAGAATAATAAATCGATGTAAACTTTGTAAAATATGAGTGAAAGAGTATGATTTTCTTTATTGTGCGTTTTAAACTATTATTGTATTGAACGAGTCCTATTTATGAACTTCTCATTAATATTTCATCCAAATTCATCTCCAAAGCTTCTGTTTATTTTCTTACTCCACTCGTAATTCCTATCCCTCTATTCTTGTCTTTTTTATTTTCTTTTGGCCGACAAGTGAACAATTTAGATTTGTCTTTTGATGCAATTTGCTATCCAATGCCAGTTGGGGAGGCACTGATTGGTTATTGAAGCTTTGAGAGGGCAATTGGCTTTCCTTTACTTGACTTCTTATGCACATGGGTCAATTTTTCGTTCTTGACCCGTCTGTGTGCCTGTAATTCAAAATGGCTGTACAGAACTGGTTTGTAGCCCGTGATGCATGTTCTGTTAATTTTCGATGCCAGATTCTATGATATCTGTAATATATTTGTCTACATGGATCAATCAGAATGATACAATTTAATTATTTAAATCTAAATTATAAATGATATAATGATTTAGACCAATCAAGTTAATGTTAGGTATCATACCTTATTATTTAAATGAGCATCGGAGTTGTCACCATTTTTTAATGTATGTACTACCACGTACAAAGTTGTGGTATAGATTTCGAAAAAAACTAAAGTTAGTGGATAATCAAAATATGTCGAATAAAAAATGTACTATTACAATTTACAAACCTAAATATATGCTCAATAAGAGCCCGTTGATAACATTGAAATTGACTTAATTGATTAATTATGTTGAAATTTATGAAATTCTAACTAAAGTAGTTGAATTGCTTGATTGATGTACCAATTTTTTTTTAAAGCAAACTGACTGATTATATTAAATTCCAACAATCAACAACAATACAAACTTATCCATACGAATCAGCCTCCTACTACCAAACTCATCATAACCCAAAGATCCCATCGCCCTCTTATTATACATAGAAACGACCACCCTAATGAGAGCGGATCGAGACATTGAGTCGCTAACCATGTGAGAGATTTGAAGATCATCTCGGCTTCTGAAGCCATCATACTTCTTTGACAACAATACCTACCAACTTCAAAGGCATAAGCCAACCTAACCACAGAGGATCTAAAAATAAAATTAAACATGGAAAGAACAATAGTAAAATGTAAAATAAAATTCAATTGGTGTCGTACAATTCGTACTGCAGACGTCTTCTTCCAGCCCCTAATCTTGAAGCTCCTACGAGGTAGCGATTCCGGAGGGAGACGAATCATCCTCATGTCGTCTTCTTCCTCCACCACCTGAGTCAACTGAATCACTCGCACCAAAACCTCCACCACCCAATTGAACCCCAACGCCCCTTCTGCCAGACTCCACACCGTCAATGTTCCACCCGGGTCAAACACTGCTGGTGATGGAGTATTAACTCCTAGATTCTAGAGAGAAGGGAGAGCTAGAGAGAGAAGTGAATTGTATTAATGAATTTTGTCCACCCTTACAACTACTCCCAAGGGGAGTATTTATAGAGAAAATACGGGCTGGGCTCCCAAGTCTTGGGCTTGGGAGGCCCATCTACAACTGGACCGCTATTGGGCCGAATACAAAGCCACTGGTGGGCTATACAAATGAATAAGTGTAAAATCCGGTTCTGTGAGACTTCCGTGGCCGACGAGGGCATGGCCGATGAGGGCATGGCCGACGAGGTCACCCAGTTCTCCGGGCTTCTGGATCATATTCTGAGTAGACCTTTTCATGGCCGATGAGGGAATGGCCGATGAGGGCATGGCCGATGAGGGCATGGCCGATGAGGGCATGGCCGATGAGGGCATGGCCGATGAGGGCATGGCCGACGAGGTCACCCAGTTCTCCGGGCTTCTGGATCATATTCTGAGTAGACCTTTTCCTGGCCGATGAGGGCATGGCCGATGAGGGCATGGCCGACGAGGGGATGGCCGATGAGGGCATGGCCGACGAGGTCACCCGATTCTCCTGACTTCTGGATCATATTCTGGGTGGCCTTCTTTCTGGCCGATGAGAGCATGGCCGATGAGAGCATGGCCGATGAGGGCATGGCCGACGAGGGGACCCGGTGATCGTGGTACCTTCTGTTCTTCTGAGTATGTGGGTCCTGGGGCCTAGACCCATATACTCCATCAGGAGTCCCCCACTCTCTAAGCTGAGATGTAGACGAAGTGAAGGAGAGTAGACTTCTGTGCTTGATGCTCTTGGCCGATGCGGGGCCACGTTGGCCGTTCCCTGTCGTGGTGTTTGGTGGCCCTATTCTGAGTTTGGCCATTACCCGTTCCTTGATGTGGATGAGGAAGGCTGTTACTCCTTTGGTGCGCTTGTTTGCGGACGATGCGTGTTCTGACATGAGTGGCCGACGAAGGTAGTGTCTACCCTTGGTCGTTGATGGTTTGAACTTCCCTTTTGGGCTGATGAAGCCATTGTGGTTATCTCTTGTTTGAAGACGATGAGTGTCCTTTGTTTCGAGGAAGATGAATGTCCTTCATTTTGAGGACGATGAGTGTCCTTCATTTTGAGGCCGATGAACGTCCTTCATTTTGAGGACGATG